AAAATATGAATTAACGAGATTAGGGAATCAGTTATTTGCTGCTGTGTCTCAAGGGAATACAATCCTGATAGCCTCGTTGAATCACGATGTAGGTCTGGTCAGCATTGATGAGTACACTGAGCTGAAGCATATCCAGAACCTCGTCACTGATTACAAGATTGAGAAGCCTGAGCGACAGTGGTACTATCTCCAGCAGTACCGATCAGGAGAGATCGCTTTCTGCACTTCTGATAGACTCTATATATTCCACTGAAAATAATGAATGCCTCATCCTTACTTGTTGCACTGTATGATACCACTGTCTTCAGACCCATAGAAAGAAGTGGGGGGGGGGTGCGATGTGTCCGAATGGACCTATTTTTTCTGGTTTAAACAAGCACGCTGAAAAATTGAGAGTAACATAATATTTCGTTAAAAAACAGACCCATGCCCGGCTATTTTTTTTCAAAAACATCCAACAGGCCTGGTGTTTCTGTGACTTTATAAAGTGTAAAGGTTTATAACATCAAATGGAGTCAGTTATATCACAAACTATGTGAATTTGAGTTTTAGAGACTGTTTCAGAAATTATTTTCCTAAATCATGTCAGATCAATTTTAATAATTGAAACTTTTTAAAAAGTAAACTTTCTTTTGATATACGGATGTTTTTATCTTTCAAGATTTGGTTGTTGATGATGTATCTACATTGTGAATTTGATATTTTTTTTTTATAGCTGTTGTAAATGATGTAGACACAATATAATTGTGGACTAAAAGATTGTTTTTACAGTAGGAGATAATCATCATAGTAATAGACTCTATATGTATTGGCTTTTAATACAATGACTAATTTTCCTTTATTTTCTACAATCCTTTTCAGATCACTGTCCGATTATTCAAACTAGTTTTTACATTTTACCCAGAATCGTAAGAGGAAACGTTTTCATAAAATTACTACTTCTTTATGTCTCTACTTGTGTACGAAGAGTTCAAGAGTTTCAAAAATCGACCTTTTTATTTTTTATGTATTTCGCAAAAGTATTGTAAAACCAATCGTCAAAATAAGGCTTTTTAATATTTTATCTGAAGGACTGTGATATCTTTGTTGTCTGTTTTCTATGTTTAATTTCCGTCTGGCAAAGTAAGTAGGAGAAATGACATAGAACTAAATACCCGATTCATTTATTCACTTTTTGGAGATATTTCCTTTTATCTGTGTTTCAATTTTTTCAGTTTCTGTCCTTAATATATTGTTGATAGACTTATAATATCGCGAACGGTGATTTGTATTTTTTGTGGTAGGGATGTTGTAATTTAGTTATTAATTTAATTTGAACTTTTTTTTCTTTTCCATGATCTATTTTATAATATCACGCACAGTGATGTGTATTTTTTGTGGTAGGAATATTGTGTTTTGTCATGTCATTCAAATCTGGTAAACGTATTTAACTGTTAATTATATCTTCTTTAGGTCGGCCACTTATGAAGGTCACTTCCTTTCTGGTTGCTACCTACCCCTTGTACCAAGCAATTTCGATATTTGTGTACCGATGTATATCATGTATTCTATTATTTTGTGTAGCAATTAATGTATTATTTCATGCATACGTTTGTATGTTATTCTTTAATTGAAATGATGAATATTTATTGATGATAGTTATTGATACGACATTCTATATAGTACAAATTATTATTTGTGTTGATGACATGTATTTACAAAACATAATATGAAATATGTGTAGTCTACGGGATTATTTGCAGTTTGCAGGGGAGGGGGGTGTGCAAGTGTGTATAAAAGGGGTAGCAGTTTTTACGCTAGAAGGAGCTTGTACTGTGCAACATATAGTTGTAACACTGTACTATATAGATGTGTACTCTGGTTTCTTATGCAGGAATAATGTCTACTGTGATTGAGCTGTTATTAAATCTTTCTCAAAATTTAGCACGGATTTGAACCTTTCTCCTAAAGCAATACGTTAGACACTAAAACTTTTACGAGGTATTGTAAAAACTTTTATTTTGATTACGAAATAAATTAAGATTCACATCGAATTCAGTCTGAGTTTTACATCTATTTCATATATCGCACAGTTGAAAGAGCTTTTGTTCAAGAGAGTCGCATTTAAGTACAATCAAACCTTACTAATAATTCCATATTTCAAATCAAAAGAAATGAGAGAAACAAAATGGAGAACGTTTGAAATAAATAGAATATATTTCATGCATAAAAGTATAAATAATATCTGAATTTCTCCCTTGGGAAGCTACTCAAAACAGGGGCACTTATTAAATAGGAAAAGGGGCACCCGAAAAAGTGAAAGGGATACTAAAAAGAGGAATTTCTTATACCTAATATGGGACATTCACCAGAGCTGAAAAAGGGCACTTCTTAGAAGAGAACATGCACTTATTAAAAAGTAAAAGGGGGAACCTATCATATTTAGATAGATTCAGTTATCAAAGGTGGAAAAGGGGCATTTATAAGAAAGATTATGCAAGAAGGGAAGGGATCAGAAAGCAAAAGGGACACGTGTCGAAGTAAGAGGGGCACTTATCCGAAGTAAGGGGGGGGGGTACTTTTGGCACCTAATCGGCACCCCTTCGTAAAAAGTTGGTCTTAATTGAAGCAGACATATTAGGGGGTATGGGGGTAGATTATAGATATCGAAAACAGACAATGTAAAATGACATTCGAAATCAATAGCTTTCTTATTGTTTAATTTGGTCTTGATGTATAATGCGTAGAGCTGTAAAAGTTGTCTACACAAAATAAAATAATACTATTTTCTCACTTATGGTGGCATATAGCCATATGTTCTTTTAAAAAAAATTGTAAATTTTACTTATCCCATCGTGAATAAATATATGTTCCATTATTTAAAAAATCCAGAAAATCGACACTTCGAGTAATCTTTCAATAATTCATTGCATTTTACTCCGGTCCCCAATATAAAAAAAATCCTCTGGACGGCCATGCATTTTGGCTCAAGGCATGGGCACACAGAAGATTTTTTTATGTTGGGGACCGGGATAAAATGCAATAAATTATTGAAAACTTATTGCATTTTCTGTTTTTTGTTTTATTTATGGAAACTGCCCCCTACCCTAGCCCCCGCTGCGTACAGTCATGGTTTAGTGACAAAGCGATGGCCTCGTAACTGTGAGGCCCCAGGATCAAGACCGTGTCGATGTGCTATATTAGTGCCCTTTTGTGGGGCATTAATCCTCATTACTGTCATTTATGACCTAAGGGCATAGGTCCCCTAGTTGATAAGCATAGTAGCATACAAATGCTTTAGCGGTCACGCATAACACACTTTGACAAATTATTATTCAATAAAATCTGAGAATGTATACTATTATTTAGATCTTAGATTATTTTTTAATTATTTTAAAAATAATTCCATAAATTGGGATGAAATAAAAATATTCCACTTTTATGAGCGACAGTGTAGTAACTTTAACTTTGAATAGCAGAAATCATGTGCTATGTTGATAGCACTTTTTCCTTTGTCATAATTCTTTTTTAAGAACACAATTTTCTGAGGAAGAAAGGCAAATTTCATGCATATCACAAGTAGTCATCACTCAGTCCATTGTTATTTGTTACCTGGTAACCAACATACTACATAGGTTCAATTGATCCTCAGGTTATCGAACTATAATAAATGTTTAGAATGTTTAGCGCCATCTTCAACAATCCAACTGTAATCTCGAAGGGGGACATATCCGTGAGACTTTGGCAAATGTAATTTTTGTAAAGGGGGGGGGGGTAGAAATAGAATTCAATTTTGACACAGGCATATATTTGCCCCATAGACGTTTGAGAAAATGAGATCGAGTTCTTATTGGGCGATCATTTCACTGGACGAATTAACCCTCAACCAAGTTGTCTGTCAAAGGTTGCTGGGATTTCCCAATACCTAAAAATAGATTTATAAACTAAGCACAATAAGCACATACATACTAATGATCGGCGCGCCATTACATCGTAAAGACAAAGAGTATAAATGTACATGTCGCTGATTTCATATAACACCTAGGCCGATAAGTATAGTTCCAGAAGAAGAGGTGAGTGAATTACAATATCAGCGTCAATTCCGAGTAGAAATTTGGTAAAATGTTTCGACATTTTCATTCTACATTGACAGGGGCGGCCGAGCGACTTTCAAAGTGGGGGGGGGGGGGGGCACCAACAAAAAAAGGCACTTTCTGGAAAAAGGGCACCTACAGTGGGAAATCTCAAAGCGAAATATACAACTTTTAGACATTGGTATATACCCCTACATTGTGATTACATTATCAGGGATGATTTCAATATTTGTTTCTCTTCATACATCATACAAGATATCGCTTAAGCATCAATCTTTACAGTTTGGTGTGATGTCTGAATATGCATTTACGAGCGAGCGAAGCGAGCGAGAAAATTTTTAAAGATCTGTGAGGTCGCAGTGCGAAAAATTACATCTTATACAGAGGAAAAAAGCCAATCGTGAAGGGGTTATAAGCACATTCTCATAACGGAAGACTGAAAAGACCTTTGATAAGTAACATAATTATATAATCTTTAAATGCGAGCGAGCGCAGCGAGCGAACTTTGGGGAAAACTGCTCTTAGTCGCTTTAAATAAGGGGCACGTTTAATGATTACATGAAAAGGGGACAATTATCGAAAGGGATAATACACTTATTAGAAAAGAAAAGGAGCACGTGTATAAGTACAAAGGATAATTATAAGAGGTGAAAATGAGACATTTTTTCACTTGAAAAGAGGCACTCACCAGTGATGAAAAGGAGGCGTTTACGAAAATGGGAAATGGGGCACTTATTAGAAAATAAGAGGGGCACATGTTAAAATAAAAGGTGCGCTCATCCGAGTTTAAAAAAGGGGTAGTTATTAAAAGAAGAAGGGGCACTTCTTACAAAGGAAAAAAGGGGAAGTTGTCAAAGTAAAAAGAGCACCTCTCAGTTTTGAATAGGGCAATCATCAGAGGTGAAGGGGCCCTGTGCTCCGATGCCCTGTCTGCAGAGCTAAAACCCAGATCCCAAACCAAGATGTCAGCAAATTACAGGCAAATCTAGCTTTGAAGTCTCTCATAGAGGACGTGGAGAATCAATATCAGTTTTGCACGAATTGTAAATCCGAGGACAAACCCCAAGCTGTTGTCTACTGTCAAGAATGTGGCACGTATCTCTGTAACACGTGCTACAACACACACTCTCAGTGGCCAGGTTTCATCAGTCACGAGGTTTTAGCCATGAGTGAGATCTTATCAGGGAAGGTGTTAGTACGTAGATATCGTAAATGTAGGAAACACCCCAAAGAGGATGAGGAGTGCTTCTGTTCCGATTGCAGGAGATTTGCTTGCTTCGGGTGTGTTGTCATGGAGCATAAAGACGAAGGACATCGGGTCATCGAGGCAGCTGTTTTTGAAAGCCGCCATATGAAGAATGTCGAGGACCTCAAATCCAAGGCGGACAAGAAACGCTCTTGCTTTCAGAAATACGTTGATTTCATTGATGAACAGAAGGAGCGTGTGAGCAATGTTCAGAAGCAGTGTACAGATGATATTAACAAAGCATATGAAGAATCAGTCCGGCATTTGACAGAAAAGAAAGAAATCCTTGTTGGTGAAGTCAAGGGAAGGACCGAAGGAGTAGAGAAGGAACTGGACAAAATGAAGAAATCGGCTGAGGAGCACATCACTCACTTGACCACAATAGCTGAGGTGGTAACCAATAGGACAAAGATACCGTTAGATATGGATGCTTTAGCTGCACACGACACTCTTTGTCAAGACTTACAAGAGGCCTTGAAACAAAAAGATCCTGACTACAAGCAGCCGAGGGAATCGAGCAAGAAAGGAAAAAGTGTCAGTTTCATGAGAAACGTTGGAATGGACGAGCTAGGTCTTGGTAAGATCGTAAATGCAGTTGCAAAGGAAATCGCTTTGCCTACTAATAAAAGCATGAATGCCATGGTTAGTACACCAGACGGTAGGATGGCAGTGGGATGTAACACACGTGGCGTGGAGAGCTTCTCTGCTGATGGTCAGCACCAGCAGAAAGTTCTCAAGAATGTTAAGATTCGTGAAGTAGGGTTTCTCTCTAATGATCGGTATGTTATACTTGATGGCTCAAACAATATTACACTGTACACACCAGAGTACACAAAGTTAAATGTAAAGTTTGAGACTCTGAGTAACGATGAAGGTGGATATCCTGCCCTCACTGTAGACAGTAATGATCAGATATATGTTAGCTACAGGAAAGCCAAGAAGATCCAGGTATTCTCACCAGCAGGTGGGAAGGCGATCAGGGAGATACCATGTGATGGTTATGGACCTTGGCAGATTAGTAGTTATAATGATGACATGATCACCGTATTTGGTAAAACTATACGATTGATTAACAAACAAGGTGTTGTAAAATATAAATTAACGAAATCAGGTCATGATCTATTTCCTGCGGTGTCTCAAGGGAATACAATCCTGATAGCTGCGTTGAAACACGATGGGGGTTTGGTCAGCATTGATGAGTACACTAACGAGCTGAAGCATGTCCAGAACCTCGTCATTGATTACCAGATTGAGAAGCCCGAGAGAGAGTGGTACTATCTCCAGCAGTACCGATCAGGAGAGATCGCTTTCTGCACTCCTGATAGACTCTATATATTCCACTGAAAATAATGGATGACTCCTCCTTACTTGCACTGTATGATACCACTGTCTACAGGCCCGTAGGAAAGTGGATGGGGTGCGATGTGTGCCACCGGGCCTATTTTCTTCGGGTATAAAGAGGCACGCTGAAAACTTAAAGGTAAAGACCAGTATTGGAAACGCCCCAATTTCAAAAAATGAAATGGAAGCTCTCATTACCAATCATGTGAAAAAATATGTTTTGACTAATACATGATGATAAAAAAATTTGCCGGGAAACCGCCTACTAATTCATATATTTGGTAAATTTGTTTCTCTCATGGTCTGTGAGAGATATAGGATAGTCCCATATAAATCTTTTTGTGTATAGTGCTTGTAACTTTACGAAGAATAGGCCAAATTTCTTATCATTTTGATGATTCCAGAACCTTGCAGATGCTAGATGCTAGATGATCAACCTTTTCTGATCGATTCCACAACGTTTCTTTCACAATGCAATCGCATGACCATAACTGGTCTTTACCTTTAAGAGTTACATAATATTTCGTTAAAAAACAGACCCTTAACTAGCCCCTTTTTCAAAAAACTTTCAACAGGTCCGGTTTTTCTGTGACTTCATAAAATGTATATAACATTCAGTGTAATCAGTGATATCTTGAACTAGGTGAATTTGAGTTTTCGTGATTGTTTCAGAAGTGTTTTTTCCTAGATCATGTTGATAAATTTGAATGATTGAACCTTTCTAAAAAATAATATTTCTTTCAATATACTTCGGATGCTGTTATCTTTCAAGATTTGGTTGTTGATGATGACTTTGCATATGTAGACTTGTATTTGTATAGGTGTTGTAGATTTGTAGACACAATTTAATTGTGGACTAAAATAATATTTTACAGTAGGAGATAATTATTATAGTAGTAGACTCTATAAGTATTGCCATTTTATACAAACAATATTTTTCCTTCATTTTCTACAATGCATTTCAGATCACTGTTCGATTATTCAAACTAGTTTTTACATTTTACCCAGAATCATTAGAGGAAATGCCACGTTTTCATGATAATCTCTGCTCCCTACAATTTCTCTAAAGCCGACCTATTTATTTTTGATGTATTTTGCAAAAGTATCGTAAAACCAATCGTCAAAATAAGGTTTTTTCATATTTTATCGGAAGGACTGTTATATCACTGTTGTCTCAGCTGTTTTCTATGTTAACTGTCCGCCTGGCAAAGCAACTTCCCCAATCATGTCACTACTTATTTTTGTTTTATTAAATAACTGATGTAGGCCTATGTCACTGGCGTACTGGTGGGGGGGGGGGGCTTGGAGCGCTAGCCCCCCCCCCCCCAAATAAAATCCAAATATGACTTATTTTCAATTTCATACAAGTGATTCGCGTTTCTCCATTTCTGTTGCAAACTGACACATTCCCAAATAGCCAAGAAGAGCATATATTTTGTATAGTCACTGATGGGCCTAATTAGTGACCGTCAACACTAACAGTAGTATACAATTCCTTTCGAGAAGCTATTGCGACAAGCACTGCCGGGAGATAACATGCTACGCACCACTCCATACGTACATCATGTGGGGAAACTGAATTATGAATTAATATAGAGAACAGAACAACGAATCGTCTTCTTTCTCTAATAATTTAGTGAAAAGGGCAAAGCTTCCGCGGGGCAACTGAATTCAGACTAGGATTAAGAGTTATAATTAAATGAAACGTCAAAGTACACGATACAACGAATCGTCTTCTTTTACTAATAATTTAATGAAACGTAAAAGCTTTCGCGCTACGCGTGGGCTGGGAGAAAATGATTTCAGACGCAAATGAAACGTCAAAGTACACGATACAACAAATCGTCTTATTTTACTAATAATTTAATTAAACGTGAAAGCTTCCGCGCGTATAGTGCGGGATGGTCGAAAATGATTTCAGACGTGGATTAAGAGTAATAATCAAATGAACGTCAATGCTTCCGCGCTTCGCGCGGGAGGGGGGAAACTGAATTCAGACAAGGACACGATACAACGAATCTTCTTCCTTCTCTAATAATTTAATGAAACGGTAAAGCTTCTGCGCCTCGCGCGGGATGGGCGAAAAATGAATACAGACAAGGAATAAGAGTAATAATTTATTGAAACGTCAAAGCTTCCGCGCTTCGCGCGGTAGGGGGGGAACTGAATTCATGAAGGACACGATACAACAAATCGTCTTCCTTCTCTAATAATTTAATGAAACGGTAAAGCTTCTGCGCTTCGCGCGGGATGGGCAAAAAATGAATACAGACAAGGAATAAGAGTAATAATTTATTGAAAGGTCATAGCTTCTGCGCTTCGCGCGGTAGGGGGGAAAGTGAAATAATGAAGAACACGATACAACAAATCGTCTTCTTTCTCTAATAATGTAATAAAATGTGAAAGCTTCCGCGCTCGCGCAGGAATGGACAAAAATAAATTCAGACAAGGATTAAGAGTCGAGAATGGTACATCGAATCGCCTTCTTTCTTTAATAATCTAATGAAACGTCAGAGATCCGCGCTACGCACGGAGGAAAGGGAACATGATTCAAATATTAAGGATTAAGAGTCGAGAATGGTACATCAAATCTTCTTCTTTCTTTAATAATCTAATGAAATGTCAGCGCAGAGGAAGGGGAACTTGATTCAAACAAGGATTTAGAGTCGAGAATGGTACATCGAACCTTCTTCTTTCTTTATTAATCTTATGAAACGTCAGAGCTTCCGCGCTACGCGCGGAGAAGGGGAACTTTATTCAAACAAGGATTAAGAGTCGAGAACGGTCCAACGAATCGTCTTCTTTCTCTAATAATTTAGTGAAACGTCAAAGCTTCCGCGCTTTGCAGGTGAAGGGGGAACTCCTGCTCCCTGCACCCAACCCCCTAGGGAGCTCGCTTCGCACGTTTCGCGTGCTCACTACCGCCCCCCCCCCCCCCCCCCAAAAAAAAAAAAAAAAAAAAAAAAAAAAAAAAATGAAATTCTGGCTACGCGCTTGGGAGGGGGTGCAACTTGCCACACGCTTCTACCTCTTGGTTGCTTTGATCCATTGCCTAAAATATTTTGGCACCTATCATCCCCCCAACCACGGATACAAATCGACACACTTGACGTCATGATACCATTCTATCCACGTGCTGTTGTTAGGAGATCTTCTAGACTTAGTCAAGATGGTAGATTCATGGGCATACTAAATCTACCATGGGGGGGGGCGTCTCTCTTTCTAGAATATCGCCTCCTATATTCTAATACTTAGTGAGCAATATTTTTGATATCATCTTTTGTTTTCGTCAAGTTAACAGTCTCTGGTGGTGCATTCTTGAAGCCAATGCATGTATATACAATTGTATTCAATATACATACCTCATCACTAGCTAATTTGAAGAAGGGGCAAGGGGCGGTTATAGCCCCTCCTGACTGATTGCCGACCAATAAAAAGAAATGCAGGTTATAATAGGGAATATTGTAAGTAAAAAAAAGGGGGGAGATGCAGTCGCCATAGTCATATTCTCAAAGTCATTTCGGGTAATACCCCTAGCTCTCTCAATCAGTGACAGCAAACCACACAAGGCACCAAAAGGGGAATTCTGGATGGAAAGTATATGGATCACAATAAGCTGCTGAGATGTTTTTCTCCTCCTGCACGATGCCAAGGTCCGGGATACGCCATTGTGTCGAAAATTAAAAAGAAAACTCGTGCTGACAGAGTATGAGATGACTATTGTCCTAATTGATAGGCCTGTATTGGTCCGGGAAATAATGTTGCAAATAAAGTCTTGACAGTGAACTCAAAGCTTACCAGTTTAGTCAAATGCAGAGTCCAGCTCGTCGGAAGAGTGGACATAAACATGACCGTCGATCAGGGGCGGCGTTTTCTCTTCATGACCGGGGGGGGGGACGAAATCCGATGTACGGAGGAGCAGTAGCGTAATGAGCAAAAACTTTTTTTGTAGGGGGGGGGGGGAATCCGCACTCCCTCTCTTACATGGTACATGCAGGCCCCGTGGAACGTTTTTCAAAGCAGGGGGGGGGGGGGTGGGCTAAAATATTTTCGATCAGGTAGAGCAAAGCGAGCGAAGCAAGCGGATTGTAAATTGGCGTGGGGTCCAGGGGCAAAGCACTGGCAAAGCACTGGCAAAGCCCCCGGGAGCTCAAGGGTTTTAGGCATTTAATAACGGTCAGAATGATGAGTATCCAGGGGCCCGCCTCGGGGCCCTTGGTGGGTACAGGGGGCAGATCTCCCGGAAGCTGAGGAAAAATAAACTATGCCATTTCAGCAACATGTGTAAATCACTGGTATCGAATTAGAAATAAACCATGTTTTATTTTTATTAGGGGGAAACTGCCACCAAGCCCCCCCCCCCCCCTGTCATTACGCCAGTGCGAGGGAGCATAGTGAACGAGAAGGGTGAAGGTAACGGAAGTGACTTCCCCCTTACACTTTTTGGTGCACTTTTCCAAATTTTGAGGGGGGACGATCCCCCCTAACAAAATTGAGGAGGGGACGTGTCCGTCCCCCCCCCCCCCCCGGGATCGCCGCCCCTGCCGTCGATACTGGATCGAGTGTTTTTATCATCCCACAGACTGTCCTCGAGAGACATTTCGTCAAAGAAGCCTTTCAGCCAATATAGTAAAGTTATCCGAGTACTTTAAAGCTGACACACCAGTATTTGGTGCACTGCACACGTCCTTCAAAGTAGGCACTCGACAAGCCGATGCTACATTGTACGTCGTACGTAAAGGATATACACCCCTCGGGATGGACTTCATCAACAAACTGGATTTGAAAATCCAGGGCAGCACCGTTCACATCGAGCGCATCGAAGCCGACAAAAAACAGCGAGGTTCCGTCACCACCGAAGTTTCGCAAGCTGTTCGCACCAGGTTTGAGGAAACCGGGAAACTTCAGGATACAAGCATCAATATAATACGTGGCTATTATGAAACATATCAGAACACGAAATAGAGTGAGTGAGAGGAATAGAGAGGACAAGGACAAGAAGG